CCCCGTTAACTTTGACAGTCCCGCCACTCAGCTCCGCGCTTGGGTGTCTCTCTCTCCGCTCGCCACTCCCCATTCTCTCGGTCAGGACAGCGATGCTTGCACATTGTGCCCAGCTCCTTGCCCTGTCGAGCCTGCTATCGTTGCCTTCCTTGATCGAAGCATTTCTAGGTCCTGCACCACGAGCCCGATCGCTTTCAACAGGCCGAGACAGGACCCCAGTAGCATCATGTGTCGTCATGTCTGACCAACAGCAGCAGTCAAACTGCCGTAGCAGCCGATTGCTCACAGACGCTCCCGCCACCCTGATCAGTGAAGCAGGCCGAGAAGCAAGGGGTCGACCAGGTGGGGTGGACTTCTGGTTTATCGATTTCGGATCTGAGGGAAAACAGGGTGCTGCTGTAGACTCATGATTTCTCCGAGCAACATCCACGACATGTAGTTTATCTGCTACGCGCAAGCTGTGCATGCTCACCCTGGAAGAGGTTGCTGGTTTGCCGGCCCGTTGTAGGAGCACTGACAACTGCTGACTGCTGTCGCTTTGGACTCGATCATTCTGTGATTTGCGCACCCTTCCGGGCCTTGATGTTGGCGGGGTGGGAGGTCAGCAAGTTTTTTAACGAGCTGCCAACCTATTTCGGCTCGACCGCCTGTTGCTCTTGCCTTGTTGCCGTTATGTTTTACAACTTCGTTTCCATTCGCTACGAACCAAGGCTACTAAGCTCCATTCTATTGCGTGTGTAGATCAGTCCGTGCATGCACTGGCCCTCTGAAAGTACCACGACCCTAAGAAGCTAGAGATCGAGACCTCCGAGAATCGCATGACTCAATGGCTTCAGCCGCGGGGGACCGTTCCACTTGAGGAACACACCACCAATAAATCAACGCGCGTGTCGCAAAACGAAGGCGGCGTGCGAAGGCAGAAACACTCGCTCCGAGATGTACCTGGAAGACAAACTCCAGTGGTTATTACCTTTGTAACAACTGGGTCCAAACGTGGACGAACCGCTGAGTCGTCCTGGTCCCGAAACAGATGACGACGCTACGCGAGCGTTGTTGTTCTGTTGGGGACACAGACTTGTGACTAGCGCCCCACAAGGAGCATACGAACTGTCCATCTACAGTTGACGCACGTGTGTGTGTTCTCTGGATACCGTTGTTGCTAAACCACGAAGGAGTTGACCTTGTCTGCGCGCGCACACCCTAGCTCTCATTTCGCGCTTGCTCCCCACACCTACTTCACGCACGGGTGCACAAAAATAACTTCCCCAGACCAAGGACTGGAAGACATCGTTCCCCTGGTCGCAGCCTTAGAGGCAGCCTGCAAGGGGATATCGATGCTGGTGCGGCGAGCAGCAATAGCGGGAGCCACGGGTGTCGCTTCAGGAGGCGGCCAAAACGCGGGAGGAGATGAGCAGAAAAAGTTGGACGTCGTTTCGAACGACCTCCTGAAGGGTTTCTTGGCGAGGTCGGGGGTCGTGCGAGTGCTGGCCAGTGAGGAGGTGTGTGTCCTCCTTCGCTTGCTGGGTGGGATTGTATTGCACGGCAAAGGCGAAACGCTGGTCTTGTCGCAAGACACAGAAACATTGTGGAACTGCGTAGGCTGAGGCGCATGCATGAACAATATTTGTCCGGAAGCGTAGGTTATGCAGTACCCACGAACGTAAATTTATCCCTCGAGAACATACAAAAGATACATAATGCCAACAGTTCTGGCGCTTCTCTTGCGCTAGGAGTTTTGTGGAGCGTCTCCTCGGACTTTCCAGCTCAAGGGTAGTCGAAATGGGGCGTGGAATGCGTGTTTTGTTTAGGCTGTTGTTGTAGGCCATGCTTAGTATAGAGCAAGGGATATCGCAGCAGAGCCTCGCAGCACGAGTACCAACATGAATTAAATACCATTTCACAAATCGAGAAAGACACGACGTTCGCGATGCCCTTCCAATCTACGCAATCCTCACAAAGAACAGATTATCTCAATCAGTCGAGCATCCGGGTGTTTCTGCTTTGTTTAGAAGTTGACCGAGACGCGCGTTCCACCTCTGTTGCTATTTCTGATTCTGTCATGGCTCACGTTCAACCCCCGAACTCGAAACTCGTCGGTGTTTCAGGAGGACGAGCCTGTAGTGGTGGAAGGCAACGACGACGCGAGATATGTAGTCGTGTTCGATCCCTTAGATGGTTCTTCGAATATCGACGCTTCAATTCCTACCGGTAAGGTTCGTCTTTTTATATGTTCTTTCTGGTATGTTTGGTGGATGTCCTCTCGCTTCTGTTGCATTTGCGTTCGTATACTTGTATACTTGCCCGGCCTGCTTACCCCGGGGGGTGAGGTGATGGCCGAAACCCATACGTTTTCTTGTTGCTCGATTTCACTTGTTCACTGGCCTATGGTCGTGTCAAGCTGCCTTGACCTGGGTAGCCTGCGCGGTACGGTTTGGAAACAATACACCCCTCGTCGACGTCTGTGACTTCCTTCCCCGGTCCCTTGCCCCGACTATGCACGACGGCGCTGGTGGTATCTGCGATCCCAGGCACTATATTTGGGGTCTTTCTAGCGGACTCAAGCAAGAGCGCGCGGGAAAATGCTCTCCAGCCTGGCAACAAGCTGGTGGCCGGGGGTTATTGTCTATACTCGTCGTCCACGGTGAGCGTTAGATTATTCTCACATCCACCCCGCTCCATGCTCTATACTTACACGCGCATTTGCGCCGCGGTGTCTTGATGCGTGCGGTTCAAGTGCGAGGGCGAAGCCAAAAGGGAACTCTCTCTCTCTGATGTTTACATAGCGCTGCGGGATGGTGCGGTGTTTAACGAGAGCAAAGTCTTGTGTGGTGGTGGATGTCGCCGAGCCTAAACTTTTGACCTTATGTATGTCTTTCAGCTTGTATGGCCGGGAAGCTCTGACGACAAGTGTCTACCCATCTAGTGTGGGCCGGAAAAGTCTGTTCTCTCCGTCCAGTAAAAAAAACACACTTTTGTGTGTCCCTCGACTTTGCATGGTTCGAAATCGCACCCTGCTATCCAAATTCTGTCGTATGCATCGTTATGTGAATAAATGCTGCCGTTTTCGTGAACGCTTCCTTTGCAACCCTCACGGCGTACCATCTGCACGGGGTTCGCGCATACCTGTGCGTGCGTCGCTCTCCACGTTGGGGGGGTGTCGCCTTTGCAGGTGATGGTCATCAGCCTTGGGGCAGGCACGCATGTGTTCCAGCTCGACAGAGATTTGGGCGAGTTCGTGCTCACGAAGCACAGCATCAAGATGCCGGCCAGAGGTATGTACATATCTAGCGGGGGGAAGACTGCGTGCAGGGTTTTGGGGCGGGTAGAATAGAGCGCTTATTGAGTACCGTGGGGTCTGATATTGTTAAACTCAGTCCACTGACACATGCGGAGAATGCAGGATGACGCTAATCGAAGGTAGTGGTATGCACGAATCTGTCACAACCTTGGTGTCAGAGGAGTTGCAGTACAAAATACGACCGACGCTGTCTCGCTCGACGTGGTACTTGTCTTGTTCCTTCCTGGTTAACAAGCCGCCTTGCGATGTCCCACTTGGCAAAGGGATGCAAGCGTCTTGAGGAATGTGCAACGACCCACCACCCCTCCCCCGTCCTCTCGAGGACGCGTGGTCAATGGTCTAACCGTTCAGGCGTGCAAACATGAGTACACCCCCCCCGCCCCCCCCGCCCTTCCTGGCCACTGAAGCACCCTCCTCGATTCTACGCCGCCCCACCACGCCCGATCCCCTTCCCCCTCCTGTCTAAACGCCACACGAAACCCCTCACGTAGGCCGAAGCTACTCGTTGAATGAGGCGCGAGAGCCGGACTGGCCGGATGGGCTGAAGCAGTACATCTCGGACATGAAGACGGGCGCCGGGCAGAGCGGGGAAAGGTACAACCTGGTGTACGTGTGCTCTCTCGTCGCCGACGTCCACTACACGCTGTTCGAGGGAGGCGTCGCCATGAACCCAAGGTAACCTTTGCGGTCAAGTAACTGCATTGCGCGACCTCTGAGGAACAGCACAAAACTACACGCCTTTACGCGTCGTATATTGGTACCATGTCCCTCATGGCGGTGGTCGTTTGAAGAGTGTGGGGGCAGGCAGATGCGCGAGCGAAGTGGAGCGAGCCACGCAAGAACGCGGTGAAACGGTAGATGGCTGTTTGCAGTCTCGAGACATCGCAGCCGGGGGGAAGGGAGTCTCCTGCATGCAAGAGGTTCCTGGTGTTGTTGTTAGCACGGCATGGACTATACGTTCGTTGCCGTGCTTCTAGCTGTTCTGACACCAGATTCCCGCCGCGAAACGACGTCGCTCACGTACTGTCCCGCTCGTAGGAGCCATCTTCGGCTCGTTTACGAAGGGAACCCGATGGGTTGGGTGGTCGAGCAGGCCGGAGGACGGGCTTCCACCGGCGTCGCAGCGATGCTGGATAAAGAGGTCAGTCCTTAGCACGGCACCTGTATTCTGTTTTCATCACGCTTTCTTCTTGTTTGCGTACGCTGCCCGCGGTGTCTGCAAGGTCGCACAATGTGCGGTGGGCGTGAGATGCCCGCGGCGAGTACATAAACGTGGACGGTGTCGCTTACTACGTAGTAATGCCCATCTAAGCTCTTATGTGCCGCATGCCAACACTTTGCGAGTGGCTCAACTACCAACTATTCTTCTCGGAGGGGAGGCATCATTCTTTTGTACGCCTTGTGCGCTGCTTCGTACTTCTTTGTTAAAATTGTCTGTCTCTGCCCAGCCTTCTGATATTCACGAGCGAATCCCGACGTTCTTGGGGTCGGAGGATGACATCATGGAGCTCGAGAGATACGGTGATGTTCAGCAGCTTGGGAACAAAAAATACGCCGCCTGAAAATAAAGTTCAGCAGCTGGAGAACAAACAATACGCCGCCTGGAATCCAGTCCGACGTCTCGGATTGGCTTTATCCTCGCCATTCGGCTTCGGGAGTGGCATGAGCATAGAGCACCAGGGGAAAGTCCTGCGAGGCGCACAGCTTAGAAGAAGAGGGCTCCAGGTTGAAAATGCGGGCGTTTTTGGCGCGGTGGCGGAGCGCTCTTGTAGAATACGGTTGCGCTTACTTGAGAGTAAGACTTTCTGTGGAATGCACCGACTAGTCGGATGCTTGTAGAATATGGTTAGCTGTGAGAGAGGAATAGTGTGCAGGTTCGTTGGGAGTGGTGCTGGTGATTCTCGGACAGAAGAACGCCATCCCACGCGCGTCTGGGGATTGTTCAATATCACAACATGAGTTGTGTCGGTGGGAAGATATGTGATGCAGCATACGTCTTCATGTCAGTAGCGCCGGTGAGCTCGTGCGGCCGCACGTTTCATTCAAAGGACCATTTTGACAGATATGCATCAATCGCTACACGTTTGCACGTTAGACGCGCTCTCGCTGCAGTCTAGTCTAGACTACGCTTGCATTATTTCAAAGAATTGTTGCCAGAAGTTCCGAGTTGGTTCTCTTTTCCATGACACGGTATATTGCGTACGCGGGATCACCGCGTTGTTGGGTATTTTTTCGCGCGCGGGGGGGGAGGTTGACGTACTTGAAGCACAGAGGCAAGTTCCTTGAGAAAATTGCCGTCTTTCCGAGGAGTCATCTGAACGCAACAGCCAAATTGATCTAGACTGTCTATTTCAATCAGATTGCCTTTTTTGCCTCTCAAGCCGTTTCGAAGATGCTGCACGCTTGTTCATACTACGCGCTGAAGAACATGTTACCTACATAACAAGCGATTCGATTGGTGGAGAACCCGACCCTCTTGATGCCGAGCCGCTTGGCCGCCCGAGTGGTGCAGCCTGAGTGCTGATGTTCGTGGTGTGCTGGGGCAGAACTCCGTATTATTCCGCACTCACACCCCACAGCAGCTACATGCACCTGGATGCTGCTTCACCTCGTTTTCATGCGGATTTATGCAGAGCACACTGCATGAGTACAGTAGCTTACTTTCGGTACTCCGGAGTATTACAGAGGAGCTTGTGGGTTCGAGTGAGCAATACGTGCCGGACAGCAGTGAGCGTGGGCGCGGATGTGCGGATAGGCGATTATTGTGCCCCAATATATCCCAACCTCTACTACATCTTAGTCTCAATCGCGGGCCCCCTGTGGCGGAGGACTTCACACTTTGCTTTACAGCAGTGCACTCTTGCACGTTCCGTGCGTGAGAGAGGGGAAGTGGACTGCAATGAGCATGAACCAGTATGGAAATTCGAGCCAGCCCCAGCGTGGCCCTGCACAACAACCGCCACCATCCCAATCCAACCCTGCCGGTGGGAGCTACTTCGTTGATCAAAAGAAGGGGGAAATCAATGAGCTGAAGCAGGTGTGTGATCGAAGCAATACTCCCCCGCCGTACTTGTTGCGTTGCTGGTTGCAACAAGGACGGCATTAGCGGCTGTAGTAGCAGTGATTCAATCCTGCCTCGGTACATGGGCTTGTCTGTATCGGTCTGTTGTTGTGTTGAGCTCCAATCGCAGCTGTGCAAGCATCACGGCTCGACCGGCGACACGACACGCAGCAAGCACCACGGCTCGACCGGCAACACGACACACAGTCAATGTTACCAAGAAGCGTTTGTTTGCCTCGTGGAACATAGTCCTCATGAATCTCCTGTACTGAATGGCCTGCTGCCCAATTGATTCACGGCGGTGGACACAGCTTCAACAACACCGTGGCAGACACTGCTACTGTTGTTTGGCCTGGGAGGTTGTCCACCTGCTCATGGTTCAACAGTTTAGTTGCTGGCACTGCCGCAGCTGGAGCATGCTGCTGCTTGAAATCTCTCCGCCTCCTGCCGCCGAAGAACTCGATTTTAGGGCGAACCATCAGCCTCAAGAGTTGAATTAAAAGTTTGAAAATATTTTTGTGGTCGTTGGTGTGCGGCGTCAAGGTAACTGAGTGAATGATTGATCGAGACCTCGAACCCCGTGTCTGCACGCGGTTTGACTGGGGCCCCTCCCGCCCTTTCCGCCCAAACCCTCAATACTTGGTCTTGCGCGACCGTGCACAGCTGCTGCGCGCCGTCAGCGTGGACAGAGACCCCAAGAAGAAGCGAGAGGTCATCAAAAAGGTAAATACGTCCAACAAAGGAGTGGAATGCATCGGACCATTATACTCACGTGCCCAATCGCGCCTGTATTTGGGCGGTGAGCAACCGATCAAGTAGCGAGCGCGTGGCGCCTGATGTTCCGCTTACGAATGCTATGTAGAGGAGCCACGGGCGTGGGGTACAGAGTGGAGGTTTTGGAATCCCCGATCTGTCCGCCGGGAGAGTGTTCTCGCTCGTCCAACCCTTACACCCCCCCCCTCCCCCCTCTCTCCTTGAAAAGGTAATCGCCTACATGACGCTGGGTATAGACGTGAGCCGGCTGTTCACGGAGATGATGCTGGCGATCGAGACGCGCGACCTGGTGGTAAAGAAGATGGTGTACCTGTACCTCTGCACCTACGCCAGGCAGAAGCCAGACCTGGCCATCATGTGCATCAACACCCTGCAGCGAGATTGGTACGTGACAACATTGCGACTTATCATACAGTACTTCATCAACGCAACCCCTTTGCCCCAACTATCGGCCTTGCGTACCCGCCTTTTGCCACATCTGTATTCACGCGCGTGCAGCGGTAATAGGGGGGTAGGGGGGGGTCCGCAGTTTTTGCCGGGAGGACAGGGGAGTGGGAGCAGCACGAAAGGTGTGCTGAGGCTTGGGGAGAGCCTCCGCTGCGTTTGGATGGGCGCGAGCAGCTGAGAAAACCCTCGTGTAGTTCATATCCGCGGTGCTTAAGATTTTGCTCATCGTGGGTCAATACGTACATGACGCGAGAGCCTCAACATCAAGCATTTTCAATAGCATGACCGATTCCTTCATTGATCAGCGTTATATTTCCCTGGGAGTTACAGCCCCGAAGAGCCGCGTTACGACAGTGAAGCGGTACGAAAGGGGAAAACTACAAACTACTACCCGTATACCGTTCTCCATGAAGCCGAACCCACGAGAAAGACAGCAATTAAACCACCTCTCGACACCGGTACATGCACTGAATTGTGTCGAGACTTGAGGCTCCAGCACTAGTACATGTGTACCTCCCCTATCCCCTCCAACGCCAACTGCGCACCCCCCGTCACTACCACCTTCAGCAACAACCAAGACCCAATGGTTCGCGGCCTGGCTCTGCGGTCTCTGTGCTCCCTGAGGCTTCCGGCGATGGTGGAGTACATCTCCGACCCCCTCAAGGCCAGCCTAACGGACGCCAACTCGTACGTGCGGAAGACGGGGGTGATGGCCATCCTTAAGATGTGGCACCTGTGGCCCCAGGCGGTGGAAGACGGCGCCATGGTAGATACGCTGTACAACATGCTGCAGGACAGCGATGCGCAGGTGATCTCATGAATGGGGCCGAAATTTTTCACGACGACGGTTTGGAGCCTTTTTGTTCGGGGAGGTTCGGGAGAGGGTTTACCTCGTTTCGTCGGGTATTGTTCTTGTAGTCGTTGCTGTCAACATATGCTCCATGCACAACTTTAGGCTTGATGCTATGATCTGGACGGTGAAAGAGCGGAGTCACTTGTATAAGTGTCGCTGTCTGCTGCCTACAACGAACGTGTGCGTGCCTCTGTGGAGCCTTTTGTTACAGCCAGGAAACGTGTTTCTGTCCTTCAGGGTTCTCCAGCAGTCTTTCCCACGCATACGTTTGACCCGCACTCGACTATTGACACTACGTACTTGTGCGTTTTGTGCGCATGAGCGGTTCCTGCCCGCCCCTCGATGACAAAGATGACAACTTTTGTTTTTCTAGGTGGTGGCGAACTGCGTGGTGGTGTTGAACGAGATCATGGCGGACGCGGGGGGGATGGCGACGAACACGGCCATCGTGCACCACCTCCTGGGGAGACTGGAAGACTTCAACGAGTGGGGGGTGTGCCACATCCTCGCCTTGGTGTCCAGGTTAGTCTAGTCTTGACCTATTTTGCTTTCTCTCTGTTGACCAGAACGCGAGTCTTGTTTTTGTGTTGTTGGCGTATTGAATTTATGGTAGAGGGTAGCGTTGGTCAGAGTGAGACGGCCAATTTGGCGCGCGAACACGGGAAGCGTCGTGTGGGGTGAAGACTGCTATTCGGGGTGATTGGTTGTCCTTCTGTCCGTCTCTTGCCCCAGAGCGCGACTTTACGGGGTATTGTAAGGAGCCTGCGTGCCGCTTGACAACGACGGCCTGCATCGAGACTAATTTGGGTGCAAGGGGGTCGGCCACATATTCGGTGAGCGGAAGGGGTGTAACAAACACGCTGTTCCTTGTTGACGGGAATGCGAAAGAGTCATGTCCATTGAATGCTCACCGGCTTGACAAGCAACGAGTGACCCCCTCTTCCGCCGCTTCATGCTATGCTGGCAGGCACGAGCCTGCTGATGAAGACGAGACCTTCGAAATCATGAACCTCGTGGACCCTGTGCTGCGCACGAGTAATAGCGGTGCCGTTCTAGCCGCGGTGAACTGCTTCCTCGTATTGACCAAAAACATGCCGGACATGCGATATCAGGTGCCGCTGCTGATGCTCTGCTGCGGTAATATGGTGTCATCATAGCTCACGAAGATAGCGATATCAGGTGTCGCCGCTGATGCTCTGCTGCGGTAGATGGTATAATCATAGCTCGCGAAGGTAGCACACGAGGACGCCAGTCGTTGAGCGGCATTTTTTTTTTTCTGTTTATTTTTTCTTGAGGCGACGGTTTGTTGCCTCGTCGGGAGTTCTGCTTGTTTGTGTTGAAAGGAAGCATTGACCTCATTGGTGCCTTGAGGATATCACCACTTACCTCATTCTGTGCTGAGCAACAAGGCCGATGGTTTCAGGTGTGCGAAGCGTTTCTGGCTGCCTCTGTGTACCCTTACGGCAAGAATAGCTTTTCGCAATGACTTTTGTGTGGAGTTATATGCTCGCCAGCCTGTCGCTCTTCCGAGTCTCGCGTTTGGCCCACAGGACAGCACAATTGGCGGCGTTTCGGTATTTTACGTGGGGGGGTGAGAGGGCGATCGTACGAGACTAAGAAATATCCTTCGTAGAAAGCACGTGGCGAATACACAGCATGGGTACCAAAGAGGACTCTCGAATGTGTCGCTTGACCGTTTCGCCGGGGGAGCTCTTCACATGCCACAACCTAGCCTAGCCACGTCCAGGTCACGATCGACACCGCGATAGAAATCGACATGTACCCATTCGACGATGACGTCACACAAGATGACGTCACATGATGACGTCACACGATGATGCCGCCGTCTCGCACTCCTCGCACACGACCCCGGACCCGCGCGCAGGTCTACGAGCGCACGAAAGCGCCGCTGCTGACGTTGATGGCGGGAGGGTCTTCGGAGACGGTGTACTGCATCCTCAAGCACCTGGAGGGGATGCTGCCCCGCTGCCCCGGCGTTTTCGACGACGAGTACCGGCAGTTTTTTACCAGGTGGGACATTTTTATGTGTCCGCGAGGGTGCCGAAAGTTGCTCGGTGTTGGTGTGGGTTGAGGTCTTCGTAGGAAGGGCGCCTTAGGAAACCTATGGTATG